TCACGGGGTTATAGATATTTCCTGTTGGTCTGTATGGATTTTTTTTTTCTTTTTTAAGTTAGAGTCTCAATCCTGTAATCCTGAGTAGCTGGGATTACAGGCACCTGCCACCACACCCAGCTAAGTTTTGTATTTTTAGTAGAGACAGGGTTTCATCAGGTTGGCCAGGCTAGTCTCGAACTCCTGACCTCAGGTGATCTACCCTCCTTGGCCTCCCAAAGTGCTGGGATTAAGGTGTGAGCCACCGCGCCCAGCTGGATACTCGGAGAAAGAAGTGCCTTTTCCAATGAAAAAAAATCACTGATATTAAAAACAGAATTATTATTCAGGACGCAGTGACATGTGATTTATTAACCCAAAAATGTACTCAAATGTAACACTCCAAATAATGTCTTATCACATATTTTCCCCTCTAATGACAAAAACTCTAAAGCTTTTGAAACACGTATCCCTTTTGCCCAATGATTATCAGTGATGACTGAATTCTCTGTCACTCAAGGTTAAGGGAACATCACCATAAACTGTTAATTGGATCATTGTTTCTATTCGCTCCGCACAAAACTTTTTGTAGTATTTTTCTGTCGGCAGAGAGATAAGCGTTACACCCACAAATCAGGAAATAAATGGCCTAAGTTTATCTTCTAGAATACCTTCCTCCCAAACAGAATGAACTTTACCCAACAGGCTCCATTCCCCTATTTTAGGGATGAGGTTTGATAAGAGAACCTTCAAAATTTCAAGCAAACTTGTTTTGTTTTGTTTTTTGTTATTTTTTTTTCTCTCCTAACTTTTTTTTTTTTTTTTTTTTTTTTGAGACACAGTTTCGCTCTTGTTACCCAGGCTGGAGTGCAATGGCGCGATCTCGGCTCACCGCAACCTCCGCCTCCTGGGTTCAGGCAATTCTCCTGCCTCAGCCTCCTTCCTGAGTAGCTGGGATTACAGGCACGCGCCACCATGCCCAGCTAATTTTTTGTATTTTTAGTAGAGACGGGGTTTCACCATGTTGACCAGGATGGTCTCGATCTCTTGACCTCGTGATCCACCCGCCTCGGCCTCCCAAAGTGCTGGGATTACAGGCTTGAGCCACCGCGCCCGGCTCTCTCCTAACTTTTTAAATTATCACTTAAACTTCTTTGACTATACACTTAGAATCCAAGAGAAAGGAAGGGGCAGAAGTGACAAATGAAACCTGATTTGCAGTCCAAACAGGCAATAACAACCCAGTGAAAAGGAGCAGCTAAGAACATGAACATCATTCACTAAATCTAAAGATAAAAGGGTCACCTTCTTTTTCATATTGATAGTTAATATGTTTATCACCTCAAGAGGGATAAAAAAAAGAACCTGTCATGTGGTTCATACACTATTTTACCCCTTAAAACACTGAAGAAGGCTCAGGTTTTCTAGGCAAAACACATAAACAGAACAGACTTTTCGATTCCAGCCTTTGCCTAAGAGAATTTTACCAAGCATCTCTGGGACTGCCTCAAGAAACCAGGGAGGCTGGATGGATTCCAGTCCCCATCAGTAAACTAGGATGCCAATCAATTATCCTATGGGGTTACAAAATGAACTGGAATGCCCATCCCATTTAATCCCCACAGAGAAAGCTGAAACAATCACTTCTCCCCAGGAGTGAAATGGCATCATTCTGATGATGCCCGGGACCAAAGCCAACAGTCTCAGCTGGAACCTGAGGCCTCTCGGCCAGAAACTGGAACCAGGAAACTACGGCAAGTGGCCCTCTTGCTCCGCTTGCTATGATTTTCTAAAATCGATAAAAGTTGTATCTTTTCTTAGACAAATTAGGAAAAATTAAAATTAAAACATAAAAATAGAATGTTGTTCTGTTGGTTATACAAATTTGATATGTATCTATGACAGGAGATTATTAAGTAAGTCTGTTTTCCTATTTTAAGGTTCTCTGTTTACTTCAGCAATCATAGGGAGACATACATTTAAACAGAATTTTAAAATACAAATTTTAAATAGCATATAAAGTTTTCAGAGTTGTTTGAACCATAAGAACATTTACAAAGTAGTATCTATAGTGGCTAATACTTCCTAAAGGAAATAAAGATTTCTATTCCCATGTAATTATAAGTCATTACAGATCCTTTACCAAACATCTTCCCTTTAGACTTCTGTGGCTAAGGTTTTAAACTGGTTCTACAAAGTATTATAAAATCAACTTCCTTAGAAAAACAATTCTGAACACCTTTCATCTTCCATGAAACCTTTTTCTAAGCCATGTTTTTATCAAAAGTGTAACCCTTCCTTCCTTCCAAAAAAAAGACTTTTTTTTTTTTTTTTTTTTTTTTTGGAGACAGAATCTCTCTTTCTCACTCAGGCTGGAGTACAGTGGTATAATCTTGGCTCACTGCAACCTCCACCTCCTGAGTTTGAGTGATTCTCCTGCCTCAGCCTCCCAAGTAGCTTGGATTACCAGTGCCTGCCACCTCGCCTGGCTAATTTTTGTTTCTTGAGTAGAGACAGGGTTTTGCCACGTTGGCCAAGCTGGTCTCTAACTCCTGACCTCAGGTGATCTGCCCACCTCAGCCTCCCAAAGTGCTGGGATTGCAGGCGTGAGCTACCATGCCCGGCCAAAAAGATAGAATTTTTAAAGTGTAGGAAAAAACTGTTTTTAGCCCCATGGCAGAGATGCTATACGCCCCTACATATTTTGGATATTACAGTATTAATTGCCGTATCTTATGGTAGAAAGTGGGAGTAGCCAAGAGCTGTTAAGCTCTTCTTATTTTATTTTTCTATTGTTTGGAAAATCAGTTTATTGCTTTTCTAAAAATGAAACATGCTCACTATAAAAATTTCTAACAATCTAAAAACATGCAGAGTAAGATACAGTAAATATAAATTGTTGTTCCACCACTCATGACCACAAATGAGAAAGAAAATGAACGTCAGTTGAAGAAAACTCAAATTAATTGCAGAAATTAAATTTCATTAAAACATTCTTATTGCTGAGGGATGAAATGTCAGCATACCAAAGACCATGGCTTTTCAATGCACTCTTCAGAAGTAGAAAACCAAAATTTAAATCAACATAGTCCATGAATCCAAGTGAACCATTATACCAGAATATACAGCTCCTCCCTGGAATAAGCCTTCTATGAACCTCAACTTTTCGTCTCTTTTAACATCAATGTCAAAATGCCTTCCCTTCAGGGATACTAAGACATATCACTTTTGAGATAGAGTCAAATAGGAAAAACCATCAAAAAGAAAGAAATTAATTCTGCACCTAGGTAGTATTATTTTTTCCTTGTTTGGAGTATGTACTAACTTCAACCAGATCAATTCTTTCACGAAACAAGGCAGAAAATAAACTCTCAATAATTTTGGAACATAATTATTATGATAAAAAGATAACTCTATTCGTCATTTCTATTTGTGGAAAACTGAAGGCAATCTTTTTCTCTGTAAAACTTTTTGTCTATTACATTCTTGAAACATTATAACCTCTTCCCCAACCAGAATGATTCTGTTTATGCAAATAAACATATTTTATGACATAAAAAATTAGTTATGTTATTACGCTTCAGTAATGACAATGTTTTGCACAATAGAAAAAAAGCTGATAAAATTTAAATTTCTATTTTTATATTCTAACAATTTAAATTTGCTTCTTGATGAATTCAATGTTTGACTTTCGAAAAGCAACTCACTTCATTTTGAAGTACATTTATATTTTCTTTAGTCACTTTAACTGTTAGGTCTACTCAACAAGAATTTTACTGTCTTTTTATTCTTTTTGTGTTCTTCGTTAAATGTCTTCTGATAGGTCACATTTACCTCTATGTCTTGTGTCATAAAAAGTACTTAAGAACATTTTAAAGTAAAATGCTTGAATAAAATTATTTTAGTAAAAATTAAAAAATAAATGTAAAAAGTAAAATAATAGAGTATTCACATTTACTGAGCTTTCATTTTCAGTAGTTATGGGTAAGAGATGAAAAAGACAGAATTTAGTTTCATACTCTGACACCATTTTTTGAAACTGGCCGATGGTACCTTTCTCATTCAAAAATTTTGAAAACTCAAAGGACAAAAATGAATTTATCAGGTCTACTAAATAACCTACATTCGTCAATTTGCCATGGAACCTTATGATACATTAACTGAAATAAAACCTTTTACAGCAAAGAAAATTCTAGTATTTGCTTTATGGCATTAAATGCCAGTGTTCCTCCAAAAACATGCATGAATTTACCACATTCCCATACGAGAAATAAGAACCTGTTGCTTGGCCTAAAAAAAAAATATGGCCATTAATGTTAATTACTTAGAATAAAAAGAAAGTTCCACGAGTTCAAAACCAGCCTAGGCAACATAGTGAGACTCCCATCTCTATAAAATATTTAAAAATTTGCGAGGCATAGTGGCACACGCCTATAGTCCCAGCTACTTTGGAGGCTGATGTGAGAGGATCACTTGAGCAAAGAGTTGAAGGCTGCAGTGAGCCATAACTGTAACACAGCACTCCGGTCAGAGCAACATAGGGAGACCCTGCCTCTTAAAAAAAAAAAAAAAAAAAAAAAAAGGAATAGAAAGAAAGCAACATCATTAACTGGACTGAATTACGATCTGTGCTAATAATATTAGAATAACTATTGTCTGTACTATCAGGAAGCTGGGTGTTTGGGGTTAATCAGATACTTAAATCTCGTTAACACGTAGATTTGTGATTTTATGAGATATTCACATTAATACTCTATTGAACTTAAATCAGTTTTTCTTGTAGCACAGGAAGCATTTCTCTATCTTCATCTTTGTATCAGAATCATCATTATGAACCATTATTATAAATATATCATATGCATGCTAGTTAAGAAAGCATTCTGGTTAGTAACCTGTTGGGTAAACCATTTCTAAAATTAAAAATGCTTGCCACAAAATAAGCCTGCTGCATCTTATGAAAATAATAAAATAAAAACTTTCATACTCTTTGAAAACAGAAAAGCATTGATCAGTCCACTTACAGTGAGCTCACAGAAATCGATGCTATCAAGGCTTTTGCTTCTGTGTAATCTCCCTTTAATTCTTCTTAAAGAGGGTTTTCCTTGGCTGACACTAGAAGTAGCACCATTAGGATTTTCAGAAGATGGTGTTACCCTGCAATAAAGAAAAAAATCTTTAAAAAGACAGGCTTACAGGTGAACACATTTCTCAAGTTTAAGGGAAGCATTTACTTAAAGGTAGCTTTGGAAATGTCACGCACCTTTTTTCACCCAAAAAACTAAGAACCACAGCAGAGCTACATTCTATCAGATACCCTTTCTAAGTATTTCTTAGCTAGTTTAGACATCTTGACAGAGTTCAAATAGTACAACATTATGATTCTTCAGGCTTGGGGTGGTGGCTCACACCTTATAATCCCAGCACTTTGAGTGGCCAAGGCAGGAGGATCAGCTGAGCCCAGGAGTTTGAGACCAGCCTGGGCAACATAGGGAGACCCCGCCTCTACCTATACACACGTAAATAAAAAAATTAGCCTGGCCTGGTGGTGTATGCCTGTGGTCCCAGCTGCTTGGGAGGCTGAAGTGGGAGGATTGCTTGAGCCTGGGATGTCAAGGCTGCAGTGAGCCACCACTGCACTTCAGCCTGAGAGACAAGAGTAAGACCCGGTCTCATTAATAAGGGTTTTTTCATTGCTGTTGTTGTTGCTTTTTAAAGATTCATTAAATATCACTGCTACAACCATGGAAGAAGCCATTACGATGAGACTGAAGTTTCCTAGGTAACTTGGAGGCATCTGCTTCCTTCTGGGCTGTTATTTATCCAGCACTCGGTCTGGTGCCTGGCACACCCAGTACAAATGAGCTATCTTTGTGTCCATCACAGATACTGTTCAATATGCTTTTGTCAAGTATGAAAATAAAATAAATCTAAACATGATAGCCAACACTTAATTCAGCATAATTACAGAATCATGAAAACACAAACAAGAAGTAGCAAATAATCTAAGCCATCCATAGAGTGTACACTGGGATACATGTTCATATAGACACAGGAAATATCATAAAATAGACTAGGCATGTCTACAGTTTAGAATAAAATATATCCATATAGTTAAAACATTTACAGTATAAAAAGATGGAAAGTAAAAGCTGCCTTTTTCCCCCTCATCCCAAACCCCTATCTCTTTTCCAAAATCAACCTCTTTTTTTGAAACGGACGGAGTCTCACTGTCGCCAGGCTGGAGTGCAATGGCGCGATCTTGGCTCACTGCAACCTCCGTCTCCTGGGTTCAGGCAATTCTCCTGCCTCAGCCTCCCGAGTAGCTGGGACTACAGGCGTGCGCCACCATGCCTGGCTAACTTTTGTGGTTTTAGTAGAGACCGGGTTTCACCGTGTTGGGGAGGATAGTCTCTATCTCTTGACCTCATGATTCACCTGCCTTGGCCCCCCAAACTGCCAGGATTACAGGTGTGAGCCACAGCGCCTGGTCCCAAAATCAACCATTATTTATTTTTTTTTTAGCACTGACCAGCATTGGGAAAAATCAACCATTATTAACAGTTCTTTGCATTGTATAATCTCCCAGACAAATGCTCATACTTATTTATAGATGTGTTTATTTCCTTTTGAAATTTTTTAGTGAGGTGACCAAATTGTGTGTGTTGTCCTGCACCTTATATTTTTCACTTAATATATCTTAATGTTCTGTCCACAATAATCCATACAGAACTATTTCTCTCTTTTTAATGGCTAAACGGTATCCCATAATATAGATGTAACATAACTTGTTCAACCAATTCCCTTCAATAGGGCAATTTGTTTGTCTTCATATGTTTGTTATCAAACCAGGCAGCAATGAACATACTTGATAACATCTTTGGGTATAGTACAAATGCTTTATTTAGTTAGGAAAGATGCCTCAAAGTAGAAATGCAGTCAGAAATGGGAGCTTTCTAAATGCTGATAGGTAATACCTTTCCAAAAAGCTTTACGAATTTACACCTCCGTCAACAGTACGTGAGAATGCCCTTTTGGGGGAATCCTTAAATACAGGGTAACTTTACCACTTTATTATTTTATCGCCCAACTTCTCCATGTCCTTCATTATACTTTTGTCTGTTGAACTGCTAATTCTGTATAAAGGACTATCATAGAATTTCCCACCACGAACCCGGATTTGTCAACTGGTCTTTCTATATAATTTAGTTTTTGCTTTTTATATTTCAATTCTTTTTTATTAGATGTCTTGATGTTTATGACACATATCTTCTAGAGATTTAATCTTTATCATATAAAAAGACTATGCCAATTAAAGATTTTACCTTAAATGCTAATTTGTCTGATAATTTTCCCCATCTACATTTTTATATTAACCCTTTCCTGATTTATCTGTTTGTAGGTGTTCCAAGTCTCTCTTTTGAGTTTTCTTTTCTTTTTTTTTTTTTTAGTTGTACCTTTAACTCTTGGTAAGTAGCATGTAGCTGGATTGTTTTCTTTCTTTACCCAATCTGAGGGTTAATGTCTTTTAAGAGAAATTCAATCCATTCAAATTTATTGTGTTGGCACATATGTTTATATCTATTCCCACCCTCTTGTTTTGTGTTTTTTTAAATACTTTTCTTCTTAAGTTTCTGTCTTATTAAAATGATTGAGTTGACTTTATCCTCAACCACCCTGACTGAGATCTTCTTCCCTTTCCAGTCAGTAGTTTGAAAGTTATACATCTTATTAGGGAGACTCTAATTCCGCTTAACTATATGCACACATGCACATGAACATCTTTATAGATGTACCTATTACGCACATGTATATGTACACATACACACACATATACATTTAGACTCATATTTCCTGTCAACACCTAGGGCTCATCAGTATCCTCACCTCCTCCAAAACAAGAAATGACATTAGCACATCTTTATTCCCCTTCTTTCCCAGCAACTCCACATCCCTCCAAAAATCCTCAGTCCCTCTTAGAAATAGTGCCCAGGTGGCCGGGCGCGGTGGCTCAAGCCTGTAATCCCAGCACTTTGGGAGGCCGAGGTGGGTGGATCATGAGGTCGAGAGATCGAGACCATCCTGGTCAACATGGTGAAACCCCGTCTCTACTAAAGGTGCAAAAAATTAGCTGGGCATGGTGGCGTGTGCCTGTAATCCCAGCTACTTAGGAGGCTGAGGCAGGAGAATTGCCTGAGCCCAGGAGGCAGAGGTTGCGGTGAGCCGAGATCGCGCCATTGCACTCCAGCCTGGGTAACAAGAGCGAAACTCCGTCTCAAAAAAAAAAAAAAAAAAAGAAATAGTGCCCGGGTTTCCTAGTTTCTCGTTCATGTTTCTGATCCCTTTGCTCTTTTGTGATTCTTTAACTTACTCCTCCAGACTGCTAACTTGCTTTTCAGTTTTATGAATTCAACCATTCTCTTTTCTATGAATGAGCACATTTTAAATTTCTAAAGTATCTGGTATTTTTTAATTAATGCAATATTCTCAGGCATCTTTCTGAAAATAACCATTTTTTTCTGAAAATAACCATCCAATGTTTTTCTACTTTCTCAGGGATTCGTTCTGTGTTTTAATTTGGTAATTCTCTGAGTACTGGCTTTCTTGCACTGTTTGGTGATTTTTAATGTCTACTTACATTTGTATTGGAAAACATCCATTTCTCCACTGCGATTACTGTGGCTTGCCTTCAGTAACTCTGGCAGAGAGATGGGATTCGCTGCCAGGTCTGTGAGGCAGACTTCTCTTGCAAGTCAGTAGCTACCCCTAGGACAGCCCTGCCTCTCTGACCCCAGTGCTCACATGCTCTAGACAACTTCAACATTTTTCTCTCAACAAATCTAACCCTATCTACTAGTTACATTTCAGAGAGTCCTCAAAAATCCTGGTCCACTGGTGACATTCTTTATTGTTTACTCAGACTACTATGAATTTTGTTATGGCTTTAAAAATTAATTTTCTTCTTTCATTGAATTTCCAGTGAGTCTTCCTTTCAACTGGCCTCCCAAAGTAAAATTGTAATAATGCCACTTTCATGATTCTCACCATAAAAAGAAACATTGTACAGCTTCGTTCTCTTCTGTGCAGGGTAAAAGCTTCCATGACAACAATGAACTTTATTCAAAAGAGGACATATGGGAAAGAAAAATAGAGCTATAAAACAATATACAAATCAACTTTTCATTTCTTCTCCCTCACTTTATTTTGATAGTGTTGGTAGGTGTGATCATATTTTAGAAAGTTAATGCAAACATTTAATATAAAGAAATCTGTCTAGTGTTTTTCATAAGTTTTTCTCTCATTTGACTTAGAAAAGTATCACTATTCTTCCTTTATGCCAAAGCTAGATGCCTAAAAGAGCCTGTAATAAGAATTTATATCTACCAAATTTTATAAGTGGCAGATGGCCAAGAAATGTATCAGGGTTAACTCAATGTAATACTAAATCCAGTGGCAAAGTAAAACAAAAAAAAAAGTAACCATAAATATAACTAGAAGAATGGCTCCACTGCCTCCCTACCAGGATCATAATAAAAACATGCCTGTAATCCCAGTACTTTGAGAGTTTGAGGCAGGAGGATCTCCTGTGCCCAGAAGTTTGAGACCAACTTGGGCAACATAGAGACTCTGCCTCTGCAAAAAATACAAAAAATTCACCAGGCAGGATGGCACATACCTGTGATCCTAGCTATCTGGGAGGCTCAGGTGGGAAGATCACTTAAGGTTGAGGCTGCAGTGAACGCTGATCACACCACTGCACTCCAGCCTGGGCAATGGAGTGAGACCATGTATCCAAAAAAATAAATAAATATACAAATAAAAACATGTAATAATCAGTAGAGCTAAACTGGTAATATACCAGGTGAATATCAGCTCTGGACCCACCCTGCCCACAGACTCTGCAGGAAGATGGTACCTTGTCTAAGAATTTACCTAGGCTTCTACAGAGTAACTTCAGTAACTTTAAAGCTTTGACCAGATCTTTGGGAAGCTGAGGTAAATCGTTAAAATGCATATGGCTCAAATAATGACCATCCACTTTGTTTGGTGTGGAATAAAGAAAAAAAAAACACAGATGTAGATAATAATGCAGAATATTAACTCTGGTATAAGTAGAAGTGTTCTTGTAGAAATAGGTGAATTTCAGATGTTGTTTC